AATTGGGGAAGGGGGGTGTGGGTGGATGAAGCGTCGTGCGTGCGTCTGCTTTGTCTCTAATGGAGATGTTGCGAGAAGCCAGCACCACAACTCACACACACGTTTCGCCAGGCAGCTCTTTCTCACTGCGAAACGCGACGAGAACACACAGGCCCGGCCTTACATGGTTCACATGATACATGCAGCGCGCACTGTGAAGGATGTTATTTCACATTAATACTCGTATGAGCATGGCCCCCCTTGGAATCTATCTGGCTGTGCTTCCTTGACGGAAATTGCGATATAAAACGATTTCACTCATTCTTCAAACGCTGTGCTGCTATACGCTGGAGCTCAACATCGGCTGTCTTCCCATCATCATCATCAGTCATGCTCAGTTCACTGCTGAGTCACGGATTGCCCACGCCACCGACACAACTCCGCACAGCCCCACGATGATTCCATAACCCGTCTCGCTCGCGCGCGTGGATTTATCTCACGGGTTCATACTCTTAGGTTTTTTTGTTCTTTTTCGGTAAAGTCACGTAGGTAAAAAAATAAAAGTTAATAAAAGTAATAATGGAAATAAAATAAAATAATAAATCACGACGTTTCGGAGGCAACACAAATCTCCGTCATCAGGTGGGACCGTCACAGCTAAAATTACTGCATCAAGTGATGCAGTGATTTTAGCTGTGACTGCATCAAGTGATGCAGTCATTTTAGCTGTGACGGTCCCACCTGATGATGGAGACTTGTGTTGCCTCCGAAACGTCGTGATTTTTTATTTTATTTTATTTCCATTATTACTTTTATTAACTTTAAATTTTATTTTTTACCTCTACGTGACTTTACCGAAAACAAACAAACAAACCTAAGAGTATGAATCCTTGCAGTCACGAAAGCTTCAAATCTAGAATTATCTTATCGGCTCCATCTCCGTGACCGGGTGCCCATGCAGCCACTCATCTCATCCGTCGTCTCGAGAGGCACGTCCTCTGTCCAAGCCCACTTTTATTGACAAAGAGTCGCTAAGTCGCCTGATTTGTGTTTATGTGCGTTTATTCTCTCAATGTCATTCAAAACAAGCATCCTCTCCACGCCTTGCGTCCCATTCTGTGTTGAACGCACATCACCGCTGCTGATCTGTGTTATAATGAAGAGTTCGGCTTGAAGCTAATTGCATGTTGATTTCCATTTAAATGTCAATTTTTACAAAAGCCACTACAACCAGATCTCGTTTGCCTCTTTAATTTCAACATTTAGATTCTGGTCTGCTATGAATAATCGCTCTCGATAAATATATGTACCTCTTCTTGGTTCTTTCGGTAAAGTCACGTAGAAGAGAAATAATAAAATAATAAAAATAAAACATGATAAAATACATTTCTCCCGACGTTTCGGCCACAACGCAAGCAGCCGTCCTCAGGTGAAGAACAGGGCTGTCAGAAAGACAGCGTCTGAAGAATAAAAAATAAAGTGATCGCAACACAAGCGCTCGTCATCAGCAACAGGGAGCCATCGTACGCCTTGGTTCTGTCGGTAAAGCCACGGAGCTAGAAACTGAATAGACCACGACGTTTCGATCAGGGACAAGGTAGGTTAGCCTCCGAGGGCAAGCGGTTTATAAACCTCGAATGTCCACCACCATCGACGGAGCAAGCGGCGATGAGCGCCGCTTAGCGGTCGCAGAGAGCAACGCAGACACGCGGACACCGGACACAAGGCACACAAACACAAGGCATGGAGACACGAAGATAAAGACAAAGATCCCCCGTATAGCCTTAACAGACTGTAGGGGCAAGTGCTGTTAGCGAACACCTATGAAGGCCGGAACGGTACACGAGGGGGTGGGTGGGCCAGCACCACGCCCAACCGCCTTTGTCTCCCCAGTGGTGATGTTTACACACCGAACCAGGTACTCATTTGAGGCTGAGTCGACCTAGGGGAGGCCCGGGATCGGTTCAGATAATCGTCACTGGTGTTTGCCGTGAGCGGGAATCGAACCCGGGTCGCCAGGTTCGTAGCGCAGCGTAGCGCTAACCGCTACACCACCGCTCCCCACTAAATGGAGACACAAGGCACACAGACACAAGGCACACAGACACAAGGCATCAGACAGATGTACGTTTCGCTTTACTCTCGTAGATAGAGAAACTAAGTAAAGAAAGCACGACGTTTCGGTCGCAACACAAGGGTCCGTCTTCAGGTGAGAAAAAAATTATCTGCCGTTGTGGATTTATATCAAGATTATGTTGAGCTTCTTTCGCACCGTACGTAGCCAACCGCGCTAATCGGAGGTGTGGGGGAAGGACAATAAACTAAACGCACGACAGTAGTGTTCTAAAGAAATGAATTTTCAATCGAGATTTACAAGTGCAAAGGGGCCGTCCATAAATGACGTCACGCCATTTTGGACGATGTTTTACCCCCCCTCTTCGTCACACGGCGTCACAAAAAGTCAGACACCCCCATCAGATATGACGTCACAAAGCTCTGCCCCCCCCCCCCTCAAAAAAAACATGCTTCAAATCGCTTTAAACTATTGTCATTGTAGTGCGTATTTAATGTGGCGCTGCACTTTGATGTTGTCTGTTAAGGATGAGTGTGTGAACGAGAGGGTGAGCGTGCGAACGAGAGGGTGAGCGTGCGAACGAGAGGGTGAGCGTGCGAACGAGAGGGTGAGCGTGCGAACGAGAGGGTGAGCGTGCGAACGAGAGGGTGAGGGTGCGAACGAGATGGTGAGCGTGCGAACGAGAGGGTGAGCGAACGAAAGGGTGAGCGTGCGAACGAGAGGGTGAGCGTGCGAACGAGAGGGTGAGCGAGCGAACGAGAGGGTGAGTAAACGAGAGGGTGAGCGTGTGAACGAGAGGGTGAGCGTGTGAACGAGAGGGTGAGCGTGTGAACGAAAGGGTGAGCGTGTGAACGAGAGGGTGAGTGAACGAGAGGGTGAGTGTGTGAACGAGAGGGTGAGCGAGTGAACGAGAGGGTGACCGTGTGAACGAGAGGGTGAGTGAACGAGAGGGTGAGCGAGTGAACGAGAGGGTGAGCGTGTGAACGAGAGGGTGAGTGAACGAGAGGGTGAGTGTGTGAACGAGAGGGTGAGTGAACGAGAGGGTGAGTGTGAGAGAGGGTGAGTGTGAGAGAGGGTGAGGGTGTGAACGAGAGGGTGAGTGAGTGAACGAGAGGGTGAGCGTGCGAACGAGAGGGTGAGGGTGCGAACGAGAGGGTGAGTGAGTGAACGAGAGGGTGAGCATGCGAACGAGAGGGTGAGGCTATGAACGAGAGGGTGAGTGAGTGAGAGAGGCTTGGTGAGTGAGTGTGAGAGAGGCTTGGTGAGTGAGTGTGAGAGAGGCTTGGTGAGCGAGTGAGAGGGTGAGTGAGTGAGAGAGGCTTGGTGAGTGAGTGTGAGAGAGGCTTGGTGAGTGAGTGTGAGAGAGGCTTGGTGAGTGAGTGTGAGGCTTGGTGAGTGAGTGAGAGGGTGAGTGAGTGTGAGAGAGGCTTGGTGAGTGAGTGAGAGAGGCTTGGTGAGTGAGTGAGAGAGGCTTGGTGAGTGAGTGTGAGAGAGGCTTGGTGAGTGAGTGAGTGAGAGGGTGAGTGAGTGTGAGAGAGGCTTGGTGAGTGAGTGAGAGAGGCTTGGTGAGTGAGTGAGAGAGGCTTGGTGAGTGAGTGTGAGAGAGGCTTGGTGAGTGAGTGTGAGAGAGGCTTGGTGAGTGAGTGTGAGAGAGGCTTGGTGAGTGAGTGTGAGAGAGGCTTGGTGAGTGAGTGAGAGGGTGAGTGAGTGTGAGAGAGGCTTGGTGAGTGAGTGAGAGAGGCTTGGTGAGTGAGTGAGAGAGGCTTGGTGAGTGAGTGTGAGAGAGGCTTGGTGAGTGAGTGTGAGAGAGGCTTGGTGAGTGAGTGTGAGAGAGGCTTGGTGAGTGAGTGAGAGGGTGAGTGAGTGTGAGAGAGGCTTGGTGAGTGAGTGAGAGAGGCTTGGTGAGTGAGTGAGAGAGGCTTGGTGAGTGAGTGTGAGAGAGGCTTGGTGAGTGAGTGTGAGTGAGTGAGAGAGGCTTGGTGAGTGAGTGAACGAGAGGGTGAGTGAGTGTGAGAGAGGCTTGGTGAGTGAGTGAACGAGAGGGTGAGTGAGTGTGAGAGAGGCTTGGTGAGTGAGTGAACGAGAGGGTGAGTGAGTGAGAGAGGCTTGGTGAGTGAGTGAACGAGAGGGTGAGTGAGTGTGAGAGAGGCTTGGTGAGTGAGTGAACGAGAGGGTGAGTGAGTGAGAGAGGCTTGGTGAGTGAGTGAACGAGAGGGTGAGTGAGTGAGAGAGGCTTGGTGAGTGAGTGAACGAGAGGGTGAGTGAGTGTGAGAGAGGCTTGGTGAGTGAGTGAACGAGAGGGTGAGTGAGTGAGAGAGGCTTGGTGAGTGAGTGTGAGAGAGGCTTGGTGAGTGAGTGTGAGAGAGGGTGAGTGAGTGAGAGAGGCTTGGTGAGTGAGTGTGAGAGAGGCTTGGTGAGTGAGTGTGAGAGAGGGTGAGTGAGTGAGAGAGGCTTGGTGAGTGAGTGTGAGAGAGGCTTGGTGAGTGAGTGTGAGAGAGGCTTGGTGAGTGAGTGTGAGAGAGGCTTGGTGAGTGAGTGTGAGAGAGGCTTGGTGAGTGAGTGAGAGAGGCTTGGTGAGTGAGTGTGAGAGAGGCTTGGTGAGTGAGTGTGAGAGAGGCTTGGTGAGTGAGTGTGAGAGAGGCTTGGTGAGTGAGTGTGAGAGAGGCTTGGTGAGTGTGAGAGAGGCTTGGTGAGTGAGTGTGAGAGAGGCTTGGTGAGTGAGTGTGAGAGAGGCTTGGTGAGTGAGTGAGAGGGTGAGTGAGTGAGTGAGAGGGTGAGTGAGTGAGAGGGTGAGTGAGTGAGAGGGTGAGTGAGTGAGGGTTTTGAAGTATTTCAATCGCAATGCGCGAACACGAACAGAAGCGGTGGCAGACAGAAGCGATTCAGACAGAAACTGCTTCCTGCGGCGTTGGCCACCACGCCGCAGCAGACAGAAGCTGTGGCCTTTGCGCACTCGGCTCGCCACTCGTCGCACGGTGCTGAGGCGACCACCTCCGCCCCCACCCCCTCAGGTCGCCATGGAGCCATTCGTGAAGTTCACGGCGCAGAGTCCGGCCAAGGAGAAGATCTATCGGTGGGTGGCGCGGGGCCGCGCCCTCGTTAGCCGAGCGGCGGCGGTGGCAGAGGCTGCGGGTAACGCTGAGGGAGCGAACGACAGCCGCGGCCTAGCTGTTTATGAAGAAGCCTTCGCTTTAGAATCCGCGTAGCGCATCGCGCGGTGGGGGCGTGGCGAGATGCGTTCCTGCGCTGCCATTGGTCGAAGCGGCTCGAAGTGGGTGGGGCTTGCGCGAGATTGACCAATCGCGTGCGCCGCGCCACCTGTCCGCGCCTATCCGCGTTAGGTTTTGTAAACGTGGAGTGAGCCCTCCTTTGCTAATTAGCAGCCATGCTCAGTCCACTGCTGGGCGAAGTCGTCACCACGCCGCGATGTTAGAGACGACTTGAGCCGCCCGCTCTCGTCGGCGGCGTGAGGACTCGGTGGGCCTCTCGCGAGGGCAGCGCTGATTATAATCACTCCCGCAATGAAGGACGTTTAATAAACAACAAAATAAATCTGTTCCAAGTGACGCCTCCAATCACGCATTGACCAGCGCGGTGAAGTATGGTCAAAGTACGCGCCACGCGGACCCGTACGGCGTAGGGTGGCTCCAGTCCAAAGAGCCGCAACAACTATCGAAGCGCCATCGTCACCCCTCACCTCGTTGGCCCAGGGACCGGGTTCTGATTGTGCAGCCTGGATAGAGTTTCGCTTCCCTTTCAACACCGCCTCCTGCTCTGAGATGTTGACTACCTCGCCTGGTGCACAGGAGGTCGTGGGTTCAATCCCAGACACTGAGAGATGTTGACTACCTCGCCTGGTGCACAGGAGGTCGTGGGTTCAATCCCAGACACTGAGAGATGTTAACTACCTCGCCTGGTACGCAGGAGGTCGTGGGTTCAATCCCAGACACTGAGAGACGTTGACTACCTCGCCTGGTACACAGGAGGTCGTGGGTTCAATCCCAGACACTGAGAGATGTTAACTACCTCGCCTGGTACGCAGGAGGTCGTGGGTTCAATCCCAGACACTGAGAGATGTTAACTACCTCGCCTGGTGCACAGGAGGTCGTGGGTTCAATCCCAGACACTGAGAGATGTTGACTACCTCGCCTGGTGCACAGGAGGTCGTGGGTTCAATCCCAGACACTGAGAGATGTTGACTACCTCGCCTGGTGCACAGGAGGTCCCTGTCACTGCCTCTCTCTCCCTGTCTCCCTGTCTCTCTCTCCCTGTCACTGCCCCCCTCTCCCTCCCTGTATCTGCCCCACGCGTTGGGCCCCCACTGGGCATCATGCGCCGATGATTGCATTGAGAATCGATTATTCCGCATTGCTACTGCATGTGCTGCAGTAACGCGAGGGATGGTGATGGGGGGAGGGTGGGCGTCTTCATCTCGCAGTGGATAGGCCATGGCTAAGAGTGATTCTGGTTTCTTGTATGCAATAGATTCACTTGGCACTTACAACTACATCCACCACGTGGTTATACATTACAAGAATTGCCTTGCAATTCGAAATGTTGACAATCGATTCCGTGGGTGGGGTGAATATGTGAGTGTACATTAATCCTAGACCCCTCATCATGTCCTGTCCATTGGCTGCATCTTTTTCTCCTCGTCCCACACTCTGTTACAGCGTCTCTAGAATCCGCCTCCACATGTTTGTTCAAATTACGTGATAGGTATCGCATCATGAGACTGACAAAGACATTCAATCTGTGGCAAGGACAGCGATTCGTGAAAGCGGATACCGCAGAGCTACCTCTGAGAGGTTAACGAGTGACCTCTGGTCTATACAGTAGGGGGCGGCACTTACCCACCCACTGCTGCTGCACAGAGTGATGTTCATCGTCTCAGTCAGGGGGTGGGGAAACTTTTTTCTGCCAAGGGCCATTTGGATATTTATATAACATCATTCGCGGGCCATACAAAATTATCAACTTAAAAATTAGCCTGTTATATTTGGTCAAACATTTAATTAACTCGTCCCTAATGTGATGGCTGGAACTGCTTCCTTTTGGCGAGGCGTGTGATGTTAGCTGCTATTGATGATGTTGCTACTCGCCACTGCTTTTCCAGGTTTGCTCCAAGATTGATTGAATTTCGAGTCCCGCCTGCAGTTGCCTTGGCAGGGCCAGATCCAAATGATTTTGCGGGCCTTATACGGCTCGCGGGCCGGACGTTCCCCACCCCTGGTCTAAGTAAAGCCAAATTAAGTGCAGGATCACATTTAACGTTACATTGTTACACGTGAGGGTCTGGCACCAGCTCCTCACGGATGGGGGTCGGGTAGGGGGGTGGGTGTAGACCTGTTGTGTGGAGGGGCGAGATGTTAACTACTTCACCTGGTACACAGGAGGTCGTGGGTTCGATCCCGATCCTCACGCCTGCTGCTGTATATTTGGAGTCTGCGTCTCTCATTATCATGTGGGCTATGAGATGTTAACTACCTCACCTGGTACGCAGGAGGTCGTGGGTTTGATCCCGATCCTCACGCCTGCTGCTGTATATTTTGAGTCTGCGTCTCTCATTATCATCACGGTGGCTATGAGATCTTAACTACCTCGCCTGGTATAGAGGAGGTCGTGGGTTCGATCCCGACCCTCACGCCTGCTGCTGCTGTATATTTTGAGTCTGCGTCTCTCATCATCATCACGGTGGCTATGAGATCTTAACTACCTCGCCTGGTATAGAGGAGGTCGTGGGTTCGATCCCGACCCTCACGCCTGCTGCTGTGTATTTCGAGTTTGCATGTTCTCCCCGTGGTCGTGTGGATTTTTCTATGGGTTTTTCCCTCCACTTTTAGAAATATGCTTTTTGAGTATTTGGCTGCCATAAATGTCCACGTGATGAGCCACTTCGTTGAGCTATCATTTGTGGAGAGGCTGCTTCTGAAAAAGAGCTCTTTTGCTCAGTGAACCTTACATGATAAAAAATAATAATTTTGCATCATTTAGTTTAAATGCCGCTAAGGAGAGTGAACTATGGTGGGCCAAATGGGCCCATCCCAGCACCCCTCTGGAGCCGGCCCATGGCTAAACCCATCAGCTCACGACACTTGAGAAAACCCAGGTTAATTGCAGAATGGAGGAAGGCGATTTCTGCTTCACCTCCCATGCGACGAGAAGCTCCGTGGAGCCGCAGTGTTGAACGCGAGGATGGGCGACTGTCTTGCAGGACAGCGCAGTACACCTGCACGCTGCTCCACCACCTGGCGGGCACGGCTGGGCTCAGTGGCGACGTGGCAGCCCTCCTCAAGCAGCTGGAGACTCACCTGAGCATGGGCAGGAAGAGTGAGTCCATACACTCGCTTGTCCATTCACTCGCGTGGCAGCCGGGGTGTTTTTAAATCCTTTATATTAAGTTCACTTGCTTGCTTGCTTAGGACCGTGCAAATCTTTCGGTCGTTTTTTAACCCACTTCCCGTGATCCAATCGAGCTGACATTTTCCACACAGACTCGTTGTGCGTGACAATTAATGTTCGTGAACATTTTTTCTCCAAAATTTTACACTTTTTAGGACAAAAATATTATATTTAATTACCAATTGCTTAATGCTGCCATGCAATCATCTGACCCATAGGTGGCAGCCATCTCAAGCCAGAGGACGAGAGGACTCTAGCCGCCACACATATAAAGGATTTATAGTGAAAAACTTTGTTTTTACGGGTTATACTTATTAAACGGTCACAATCCCATTAGGTTAATAACGAGATGACCTATGAACAAATCACCTGTATTGTTCCCAATCTCATGAGATGTTGGAGGTTAAGCAGCGTTGACCCTTGGATAGTGATTGAACGAGTGACCACCACGCACAACACTTTGTTATCAACTGTGGGGCTATATGGGCAGCAGAGGTTTGTCTGGAAAAATCTATTTGAACAATTTTTCGATTTAAAGCTTTCGTGACTGCAGGGATTCATCTTCTTGGTTCTTTCGGTAAAGTCACGTAGAATGGAAATAATAAAATAAAAAAAATAAAACATTATTTTTTTATTTCCATTCTACGTGACTTTACCGAAAGAACCAAGAAGATATTTGTACAATGTTTTATTCTCCCCGCCATAATCCCACACTGACCAGGAAGTATGGTCCAATAATCCCCACGTCTCCACAGGGTGTGGGGAGGCCCTCATCCAGCAGTGGATTGACAAAATATTCTTACTTGCAGAGTAACAATATACAGAATGCGATGTACGTTTTGTTGAATATAAATCCAAAATATAAGCAAGTGTTTCAATGGCGATGCATTACATTGTCTTTTTGAAGCTTCAAAAAAACAAAACACACCGTGTTTATTTTTTTGTGTCACGTGTACACGAAGCAAGTGTTGACTTGATATTTCTATATCACTATAGATGGTGCGCATAAAAGTGACCCGGGCAAAAATTCATCCTTTTTCTGTAAAATCGTGTCTGATGCAGTGACGTGTAGATTACGACATAGGAGATTGACACCTCCAGGAGCCTTAGTCTGGCTGCCTGAGACTCAGAATGAATAATAAATGCTTCGTATCACAAGGGAGCCTACATTTGACCTTTTGATTTTCAGAAACAAAAAACAATCCCAATGCAGCCATAGCCATCCTGGTGCTGTGGAAGAGGAAACTGTGACAGTAACTGACGCACACGTTCCATTCGGCAATCTGCAGAGATACAAAGCCAGGGCCATTACACATTGACGTCCAATGTTGAGGGTCAATTCGCATTATGGAGTCAACAAGACATAAAGCCACTATACACTGCGACTACAAAAACCTCACAGAGCCACTACACACTGCCAATACAAACACCGTACTACACACAGCCACTATATTGCAGAGTGGAGGTTATTTCTGAGAATAACAACGAGCCTCCCCCTCTGCAGTGCTGCGCTTGGGTCAGTCGGCAGACTGCGTGGTGGCTGCCCGGAGGACTGTGCACTTGTCCGACCCCGTGCTGCGTCTGTGTCTGACGGTCGCACAGCTGAACCGTGGCCTCTACCTCGCCTGCGACAACTTGCTCTGGGCTGGAAAGTATGCAGCGGCGGTAGTGGCACCAACACACCATGCCAGTGGGCAGCCAACTCGCTGATCGTAGTGGCAGCACTCCCCAGGCGTGTGCTGGGCGTACCGGGTCAGCCTGTCATAGGCGTTCCCCGTTCCCCCCCCGTTGCTTTGGCCAACTCATGCCAAGCGATTGCATGAGCCTCACCGACGCGAATGGAGCTCCGTTGCGCCGTGTGACGCGGTCGCCCCTGGAAAATTATCGCCATCGAAGGCTAAACTTGGCACATTGGATCACGGTGTCTGTAATAGTACCTAAGATTTTTTTTTTGGCGAGTTACATGGTGCGGTCACGATCGCATCTTGAATTCCATGCTGGTGTCAGACCTGACCTTGCTGTAATGGATCAACAAGTTGAAGACGTTCAGCACCGGTGGTGTGTGCTTGCATGCACACACCAGTAGGAGTAGGCACGTGTTCAGATTCCACTGCTGGCGCTCCTCCTGTGCCTTACAGACGGCTTCTCAAGTGTTGTGAGTTGTTGGTCTCAGCCCAGTTACCAATGACCGAGTAAAAAAACGCGTCATCTTACGTTCGGTTGTCTCCTTAATTTGGATAATTTCAGCTGAGACATAAAACATCAATTTGACCACACACCCCATTAGTTACCTAATTATGTATGTTAAACGTGTTTGAGTGACCTGAAACATGAACGTTTTGTGAGAACTAATAAATGACACGTGTCACCAATGCCGTAGCATCTCAGTGGCAGGGCAGATGGCAAGTGTCTCTCCCTCCCCACTGTGACAGCTACTTCAGTGAGCTGTCCTCTTCACATAGAGGGCGGCACTGCTGTGTGAGCTCCGAAAAGTTACTTCCATCGCTTGACGTGACACCGACAGCACCAACGGAATAAAACTGAGTAAACAAACAAACTTATCATAATCTTGTTTTCCCTTCTACGTGACTTTACCGAAAGAACCAAGAATATGAATCCCTGCAGTCACGAAAGCTTTAAATCGAAATTTAAACTTATCATAAGTTAGGAAAAGTCTGTATCCACGTGGATTAAGTTATGCCGTCCAACATGCCCTTGTGTTTGAAAGTATTTTATGATCACTGTGGAACCCAGTGCGCAGCACATCGCAAATAGTCCCTTTAACTCTCATTTCTGTCTTCTCTTCCATTCCAGTAAAGACAGAGCTGATGCATTGAAGGCTTGCTGCCCGTAGTTTAAAAACGTTTCCTACGGGAAGCACGTTAACCCGCGTTGGCGCGTGTGCACGCACGCTTGCATCAGGTTGGGGCTGATCGCCAAGCTCGACTCGGACAAGTGGAGCAAGCGGGCGTTCCGCTTCTACCTGCTGGTGCTGCTCATGGGCCTGGCGCGCGACGCCTACGAGGTGGCGCTGCTGGTGGACAGGGAGGCACGGGCGCGGGGGAAGCGAGGGGGCCGGGCCGGCGGCGCCGTGGCCGAGTGGGCCAACGGAGAGGAGTACTCCCAGGGGAGCGGGGACCCGGCACGGCTTGGCACGCGGGTACGTGGGTACATGGGTACACGGGTACGTGGGTACACGGGTACGTGGGTACACGGGTACGTGGGTACACAAGTACGTGGGTACACGGGCACTCAGGCACGCGGGCACGCAGGCACACGCACCGTTTTCACGTCCGCCGTTGCAGGCACGCGCACACGCGTGTCCGGCCTGTGCTAATTCTAGAAATTGTATTCATCATCGTTACGGCGACTCGGTTTAAAAGGTTTTACTGGGTATGGCTGTGGATGCTGATTCATCTTAGGAAAACATGAAATAGATTTGTTTGTATATTATATAAACCTGAGGTGCTTAGCGGGCTATGCTATGAACTCGGTGACCCATTGTTTCTCGGATATGGCTGATATCAATGGTATCAGAACCGGCCCTTCCCTGACCAACCCTCACTGAAATTTGCTCCAAAAAAAACCCCCCATGACCGACACAGCATAGTGAGGCCGTACTTATATTTACGTACGAGTTTTGGCAAGACTGTAACACCATCGATTCTTTGCTGCGCGTGCAGGTGCGTGGGTGCTGCGCGCTGACGTGCCACGTCATGCGGACGAACCACGCGGTGCTGCTGGACCTGGTGAAGAACCTGTGCGACCTCGTCATCCCGCTGGACCGCCTGGGCCTGCGTCGATCGTCGCCCGGCGTCGTGGGCCTGTGCGGGGTTATCTCCTCCGTGCTTGGAATCCTCCAGATCACGCACCCCTGGCTCAAGCTCAAGCCCTGAGCCCGTCGGCTACGCCACCCCGGGGGAAGCTCGTATACGCCTCTTTTATTTTCATTGCACATCAGAGCCGCGTCAGCTTGTTTTTTCCACCACAGAAGTTGAGCCGTGCCAACAACGTAACACGCTGTGAATGCAGGCGCACGTCGAAAACGCGGTGATGCTTTGTCCTCGGGTGTATTAACTGAAGTCGCATTTGGTGAATGCGTCATTAGCACCACCCCTGGTAGGAGTTGGTCTCCAGCCAGATTAAGGATCCCGTTTGAGGCCAGCGTATCACGGTTTGGTTTCCGTTCAACGTGGGAAATATCCAGTGGGCACCGCCCAGAGCCCTGCTCCGGCTCCTAATGTGCCAATGGATAAGGGGGGGGGGGGTACTCTACCAAAAACAATACTGTAACACCATCGATTCTTTGCTGCTCCGATTGTCAGAATTCATTTCCAAGGGAGGAAAAAAAACTACGGGTTTTGCTAATTTCGCTTTCATGATTTTGGTGGAATCCAATGTGTTCAATGACAAATTTGGCGCGCGCAAGTTTGGTGTTTTAAAAGCGCGCGGCAATTCCCTGGCGCCGAATTTTACTTTGGCCTGCGGTCGAGATTGACGGTAGAGGGGACGCCGACTGTAAAGATGAACCAATGAAATTGCCCGATGTGTGGAGCCCTTCAATCCGTCAGTGGATTGATCATGGATGGTGACGACTCGTCTCACATTTAGTGACCATATAGATAACATTTTAAAAAGTTGCACTTACGAAAATTAACAGACAATCGTGACCTAAACTCCATAGCTGCCCACAAAGTTATATTTGGGAGTTTTTGTTCGTTATAAAGAACGATTAATACAAGTAGGAACAGTTCCACACTGCCCACCAGGGATTATTTGTCTGTCGTGCACAGCCATGCCCTCGATTTGTATTTCATAGGGCGCTTCGGGCGGGCTCAGCACCACGTGACGCACCGCCCCACGTAGCTTGCGCGGCGTGACACGGATCGCACGATTGCGCTGTCCAGCCAAGTTCCTACCTGCCCACTCCGAAGGAACGTGTTGACTGCATACTTCACACTTGATAACATCACGTTCAAGCGTTCCGAATGGAACTCCACCTACGAATGGTTGACAAACTACACACGACGCTTGCAGCAACAGTTTGACTTGACAAGAAGCAATAATGGACAGTTAAGCCATTTCCGTATATCCTTTTCGTAATTTGAACAGAGTGCATTTCGCAAAGGAACATTCATTTTGCTTTGTGTATTAATGCAAAATTGCTTTCTCTATAACTGTAGTGCATTTATTTGCGTGGGTAAGCGCTGTTCGACTTGGATGCGATGAACCCGGAACGGTTGTAAAATTACAAGCAACACTTTGGATAACATTTTGCAGCGGTTTAATTTGCAACATCAGTGTAAATAACTTTTGATAAACACATGTACAATTGAACAGCTTCAATGCACGTTTTGTATATAAGAATGCAACCCCCGTCAACACGATGTGAAGAACGAGCTCACTGAAATTTGGGGCGAAAATGTAAAATTCTGACACATTTGAATGTTTGGTGTAAATTGATTTGAAAGCACGTTCGGTAACTACATTTGGAGCAGTACATTGGATGTTCGGGTTCTTGAATGCTCAAGTGGCTTTTGATAAAATTAAACATCGAGTTGTAATGCCTAATCTTACGTGAACAATAATCCTGTTCAAAATTGAATGGATTTAATAAAAAATATATATCTTACTACCTTCTCAATTTAAATTGTGATTGTGGATATTCAGTTACGTATTTATGAAAGCGACGTTTGGAGCTGTTCCGCACTGGTCATAACCAAGCTATACACTTGTATTCTTAGGTTTTTTCGGTAAAGTCACCTAGGTAAAAAGTTTAAATTAATAAAAGTAAAATAAAAATGTAATATTTTATTTTTACTTTTATTAAAAATTAAAACATTTTATTTTACTTTTTTTTTATTTAAATGTTAAATTAATAAAAGTAAATTAATTAATAAAAGTTTAAATAAAAATTCTATATTTTATTTTTACTTATTAAAAATAAAATATTTTATTTTTATTTTACTTTTATTAATTAAAATTTTTTACCTACGTGACTTTACCGAAAAAACCTAAGAATATGAATCCTTGCAGTCACGAAAGCTTCAAATCTAGAACTATACACTTGTAAAACAGTTGTACGTCTGGTCACGACCAAAATCATTGACCACTAAACTGGTCAGTGACCCCTACCTTACCAACCCGCACTTATAACCATGGTGCATGATGGCCGTCTCTCAATGGCCGTGTCTCTCTCAGTGGGTTCATGTTAGCATGACCGACATTGGTATGGGCAGACTGACAGGGCTGTTGGACATTTTAAGCGGTGTTTTCGCTAAGTTGTCCCTACCTGAAGAAGGACGCTTGTGTTGCGCCCGAAACGTCGTGATTTATTTTACTAAATTTTTCACCGACGTGACTTTACCGAAAAAACCAAAGAGTATGAATCCTTGCAGTCACGAAAACTTCAAATCTAGAATAATTTTTTTCATTACAAAGGAAAACGACGAAGAGAATGTCATGTTGACAGAGTAAGACCACGAGTCCTTGGGCATGCTGTCCCAAAATAGTTTTTATTTGGGCAGAGATTGCAAAGACATCACCGTTCTCAAAACGCCGGACAAATCAACAGCAAGTACACACAGCACATCCTGCCCTAAATGCCGGCCAGAAAAAAAAACAGTGCGTTTCTACGTAGATGAGAATATAAACGCCATGAGCAGGCACAGAATACTGGTATGACGGACCGCACCATCGCCTGCACATGGAGATGCAATCAAACTGGATTTGTTCTGGTTGGAAATTGGCACCAGAAGTATGTGGCATGAATGCAGTTCTGAAAAGACCGATCCATCTGCATGCTTATTCTTGGAACAGTGGCTGCAGGGCAAGCCAGCTTTAATATTTGCGTCACTGCAGCCGGAGCCAATCCAAGCGCTGCATTTAGGCGGGTACACCAGTTCTCAAAATATGAATTTCTACCGTTGCACAGGCGATTCAATTTTATATTGTACAGCAATTCAAAATGACCAACGCAGTCGAGTTTTTAAAAACAAACAGAAAATAAACCTTTTGAAAACCCCAGGCTTCTCTCTTGCACCGAGAAAATCTGGTAAACTGTCCCTCAATTTTACATTGACGGAGCATGGATTTTGATGTTAAGTTTGTATGGAAGCCACGAGAGCCGTGATGGCGCAGCACATGGCAACGCTGCGAAAATGCACAAACTTTCATTTCCCAGATTATCACGACAGCAAAAAAAAACGAGTACCATTCACGTGCTCTTACGCGAGGGTCGTCTCATTTTAAACAATAGGGCAGGTCACACTACACAAAACTTGCAGGTTTTGTTTAGCAAAGCCGTTAAAGTATTTTGTTTGCTCCTGCAACCAAACACGTACTTTGTTTTAAGTTAAAGGCAAGCACGCGTGTCCCCCGTGCTCGCCCTCACAGCATTCTCTCGCTCATCCATCCATCCCTTCAGCACACAACCACTCTCTCAACATTTCCAATTTCCAGGGCTGAATTTTGGCCAAGGTTGCTTCAGTCCTGGGGGGCAGGCCAGCCCAGGTGCCACTTTTCACTTCCATGTGAGTGACGAAAACAAAATGGAATTCAGGCTCCACCGCATGCCACATGAGACGTTGCATGCCCTGGCAGTCTTATAACGACTTCAGCTTTGCACAGAAAGTGTACGCACCATAGCAGCATTCAATACTGAATTATAAATGGACTACCAGTAAACGCACTCTAATCATCCTATGCATGTTTAGTGGCTGGTCATCAAAACTCATTCAAAAGCCCACTGTAATCATGTTATCAACATCTTAAGATTAACTTGTGCATATTAACTACACGTTAAATGCTTAGCAGTACAGGATTCGGCTTGGAAATGCAATTAAGTAATAAAGTACATTATTCTCTCTTTCAACAGAGAGGGAGTAGGCAGCTGTTTTTTCCCCATCCGAAAAACTAGCGTAACTATATATTATTTTGTGCACTCGGCAACTCCCGGTAGAGAAGAAGATACAGCGAAGCAAATTCCTTTATTTTGCTTTTTGCACTTTTAAGACACATGCAGTGGATTGATAAAGATTTAAATGGACGCTTTATTTTTGTCAATCCGTTTCGTTTGTCACCATAAATATGCTGAGAATTGGGTTGTAAATAATTATCATTAAGTTAATCCAGATGTTTATACCTTGTGCGCGTATCGTGTCAAATGTACACCGATGCAAAAAGCAAAACTAGTTGAAAAGCATCATTTAGATGTGGTCTTTGTGAAGATCATAGGCTAGTCTTTCCCCTCCCGCCCCCCCCCCAGTTTTAAATTCCCTGGATTTTCCAGTGAACATCAAAACTAAACTATTAAATTAAGAAAACATTCTCAAGAGTAAGCCCACGCATTTAGTGAGTCTTCCTCGGCGGCATGACGTCCCCGTTAAACATCTTAATTCTGTAGTTCTGATCCACAAGCACCACCAGCTTTGTCCGCAACAGAACGTGAAGTGTCGGGTCGTGTTCACGAGTAAGGGAATATAATACAATGTACAACACTAAATCCAAACATTTAGCGGCAGCTGAGATTCCCCCACCGGCGCAAAAGAAAGCATCGCATTAAACCAGTTGTATCCAACTTTGTCTTCTTTGTCTAAAATAGCTTGCATTTAAAAGTAACTTTAAGGAAAAGTTTGCCACTGGGTAAGAGGTAAACTTTTACCCCAAAGCCCCAATTACAGCCACACTGCCCATATCGCCCACGCAGTGCATCTATTTACACCACAAGTAGTAAGACGTTTCGGGGAAAAGAAATTAACTCCTCCGCACAGTTAAATGGTTCTCCCTGACATGAGGCATCATAAAAGCATGCATGTTCGTTGTGTTGCGCGGCTTTGAGTCAGGGGGGTAAATGAATATAAAGTGCTGTTGTTCTGAAAGATGGTGACGTGTAAGGAGTAAAGCATCTTCACAATAACGTGTTGACCTATGCAGGTCAGCGTGTGTGTGTGTGTATCACTGTGGCAAGTGTGTAATTCCTGCGGCAGTTAATGACCAAGACTCGTAAAGACGCAATGTAATGCAGATTAACAGAAACAAGCAGGAGAGTAATACACTTAAGACACCTTTTTGCAGCAGCCTTGCACACAGCTGTGTAATGAATGAGCAGAGAGGCAGTCAAGGCAATTTTGTAGCCGCGATAATTGTTAACACCACGCTACATATCGGGCGCCACGGTGGTGAGATGTTAACTACCTCGCCTAATATACAGGAAGTCGTGGGTTCGATCCGAACCACTGAAGCCTACACATTTGGAGTTTGCATGTTCTCCCCATGATTGCGTGGATTTTCCTCCTAGTTCTTCCCTCCACATTTAGAATCAACGTGCGTTTAGAGTGTATTTGGCTGCTGTAAATTTACGTGTGATAAGCCACTTTGTTGAGCTCAAATTTGTGGCCAGGTCGCTTCTGAAAAAGAGCTGTATAGCTCTGTGGGCCTTACCTGGTAAAACAAAATATACATGTCACCGCGTGTGCCAGTGACACCTAGAGGTTAAGAAGCGAAGTTGAATTATATGAGTGACCTCACCTAACACGGGCGGGGGGGGGGGGGCATGAGCCTCTCCCTATTTCACAGACAAAAAAGGATTATACCCAAAGAAGGATTTGGCTCGAAGCCACTGCTTATGTGTGTACCACCGTGTGTGTGGAAGCGTACAACCTTGTACTATACTGGTCATTATTTCTAAAAATACACTTAAAAAAGGTTTGTTAGGAGCCATTGGAAAGGGCAATTCGTGCCTTGGCATAGGGGAGGGCAAACAGATCAAAAGACTCACGACTCCACACCTGAACCCCCATGAGCTCAATGGAGCTTCTCGGTTAAACCCCCCAAATAACTAAGAGAGCCCTTGAAAAGCGCCGAATATTAAATAACCGAACCGAGAAAGGAAAACGCCTACGCCACAACAGCCCGATATAATTGTTTTTTACAAAGGGCCAACACCCTACACATAGGCCACGGGCCATGAAACAAAGCCTGCGCCCAGTCCTAGTGCACGAAATTATTTTGGCAGCAATGCACCGTGATGGTCCAGAGTGAAACCCGTGCAGCCCCGGGCTGCGTAACGCCACTGCGCAGGAAATCAAGCGCCGTGAAGCCACAGGCGGTTCAGGGGGCCACTTCTGCACGCAAGGGAAATCGGCACCACGCTAACCCTCTTTTTTCTTAGTCAAGCAATCCAAGACCTTATGCCAATTACACCATGAAACGCATCAACTTGGGCTGCCGAAGGGAAAACAACGACCATGGTCAAGGAATATAAATTGAAACTTGGCCACGCTGCCTTACACGTACCATCTGCCAATGCCCGCTATGAAATGTTTTTTTTGCAGTTGCTTTTATTTAGTTTTTTTTATGGCTTCCTCGTAGCTTGGCTGAAGTGAGCCTCACCCGGTTGACCCTCCGCCTCAAAGAGATGCCCGACGCTGAGAAGCTCGCAGAAGCTGGTCGACAACATTTGGGATCGCCGAAATGCAAAACGGCGTTGTCACGAAGTGGGGGGGGGGGGGGGGGGAAATGCTACGGAGTTTGAAGCGGTGCTACCAGACGGTCACGCTGGTCTGATCGTACTCCATGATGAGATGCTTGATGTGAGACAGCTTGTGGTGCAGATACTGGCAGCGGTGTTTCTGTTCACGGAAATTTGGGTTGATCTGGAGTTGAAAGGAAGGAAGGGGGGGTGGGGGGGGCAAACAACTGCTAACATGAGCTCGAAGTCAAGCCAATGCTGTGATGCAAGATCAAATTACGAAACATAATATATTTTAAGTTATTACATTTTGATGAGCGCGGCAGTGTGGTCATGCTTAGTGCATCACAAGGCTGTTATCTAAGCAAGCAAAGCATGCGCAATCATCTATTACAGCAGCAATGTATATCTACACGAAGCAGCAGGCACCTTTAAATATTAATCTAACAACCTGAATTAATGACTCTCGTACCCCGATATGCTTACCTTTTTTATCTGCTTGTATTCTTTCAAAACTTGGTCCTGAACACTCTGCAAAATAAAACAAAAAGCGTTATGGCAAGATGTTTATTCAACGGTATAACCAGACTTATGTTGACCGCTGGGGTGCACGCAGCTGGATCCGCAAGCGCGGCTTCGACAGCGTTCTACTAGATATGTACTACAAACATCGAAGAAAGGCCCTTCCAATGTTTAGGCGAAAGGAACGGAAAACCCTCCCAACATCAAAAAGCAAAACAAAATCAACTTCACAACACAGCTTATATCCGTTTACCACATCAGAGCCCGCATGAAGGCGCATCAAAGTGCACATTTTATTGCTGCGCCCCCGACTTATTTACAGCGGCTATTTTGGTGTAGACGTGCACGCGCGGGAGCGAGGTGCGTGTGTGTGTGTGTGTGTGCGTGGCCACGCGCGCTCCGACCTTGTACTCCTCCGTGCTGGGCTGCAGCTTGCGCAGCTTCGCGTCGAGTTGCACAAAGTGCTTCGTGACATTCTCGATGCGAGCGTGCAGCTCCCGGTACTCCTCGTACTCCGCGTTGAAGTCGTTCTTGTAACTCTGACGCTGCTCTGGGGACGCGATGGGTTTGTAGTTTCTGTCGGGTGAAAAGGGTTCGGGGGGGTTGGCAATCATGGGATTTGGGTGTCATGATACACCCCCGAAGGCTCGTGTTGTTGTACACAGCCGTGTGGATTTTTGTTTGTGGCTGTGGTTTGAGTTTTAATGTGTTTTAGCGAAACGATGTCTGTTTTGACGAGAAAAGATTTCAAGGTTCTAGATCGGCAGTGTTTAAAATTCTCACGTTAAGTTCAACCCACAAGTAAAGATTGTCATCTCAACGGACTCTTATCTGGTTACAAAGTTTACGTACTGTATACATAAATTCCAACGCATTAGTCAGTACGTTTCTACTGTAAAAATGACAACTAACATTTTCAGATGGAAACCTTCGACTTTAGCAGTAAACAAGTGAAAAAGTTCATGTCAACGCTTCCTATAAAACAAACAAAACGTGACTTTTTACAACGGGGAATTATTACGGACCATTGCAGGACAGTGCTCGGTGCACATTTCATAAGGGGGAGGTGGATTTCGTTACTTGGTACACAAAACTCTGCGACACGTGAAGTTCGTGTCGCGCTCACAGGGGCAGACCCTGACGCGTACAACGTGCGAGACTCACATCACGTAGTCGGGGACATCTGCCGTTGAAGTTGTGACATTCAGAGTCATGTCAGCCTCGGCGTCCCCTGGGAAAAAAAACACAAAATACAACGTTAAAAACAATACGCACGCAAGTACTTCGCAAACCCAAACGTTTTATGCGACTAGGGATAATGGGTAGAATTAAAATTACCTGAAGAGGCGATTTCATTGGGCGCTCACTTAAAGACTCGAGACATTTTAAGTGCCAGCGACAAATAAGTGAGCGCGTATTACCTCCATCAGGTCTGCACCTGAGTTCCAATAATTTGTTTCCGGTCATGTTGTTTTCAATCCTGGGCACGATTTAATTTTCCAAGCAGACACCCGAAATTTACAACATCAAATAAACAGCGATGCTCCGTAACTTTATTGTCCCCCCCCCCCCCCCCCCCCCCCCGTTAATAGGAGGACTGCCATCAAAATAATTGCTCCACAATTAATGTTGGATGCGCGGCAGCAAATGCCGCCGTGGAAACAACACTCCTCTAGGCAAGTGCACCGTGTGACATCGTGTCAAATGAATCTAGAACTAAGGGTATTTACAGAATGAAAGTGTTCACATAATGGCAGGGCAATTACACGGAGCGACGAACACATTTGTCGGTGCCGAAAATCAGGCCGACGGAACGGTCCGTCCACCGCGCGTTGTCCCCGATTCTACAGCGACTGCCAATCAGCTGCAAGTCAACGCCAGAGGGCAACATTGTGCCACCGTTCATTACACTCGCCTGTTCGCCATTGCAGCCCACTTACCAAGTGGGTTGTCTCTTGGGTCCGTACAAACAAAAATATCCCAGGAACAGAAACATAATTCAGTGTAGTGAAATACGAGCACGCATTTTGTGTGGATCGCTAATTTCAGCTGTGCGGAGTTTTACTGAATATTTTTTAAATGTTAAAAAAAAATCTTATTACGTACGAGGCTGAGTGGACGAATCATACATACAAGCCCCGAGTAATTCAATCCATTCTCAATGCGCATACGCCGAATATTAAATAAAATATAGCAATGACACTTGCAAAACTGCCAACCTGTCAGCTGTGAAATTAATAACAAACGAGGTCATCCCTAACAACAAGCAGTGAAGCAAGGCTTGGGTACTGTTACGCCCTCATGTATCGAAAGCCAACGGTGACTTAACCGGTGACTTAACCGTTTCAACGCTATAGTTGAGAAACTGCGCCGATGTTAATGACAGGAAGTAGTTCCAAACGTGGGCCAAGGGTTTACACTCTCTGAATCGACGCCCCACAGCAGAGCGCTACTACTAAATGCCGCCTACACGGCGCCTTGGCGGGGCGCCCACAGTGGGCAGCATCCCAGTGACTAATGCGATACAGCTGTTTTGCAACTGCCATCCTCGCTTGAAAACTGATTAGCCTCGCAGAGGCCAATGTTCAATCTGTGCAGCGCACTCGTAGAGCAGAATAGCAAAGGCGGCACAACAAATAAAACGGCTTTGTTCCGACGTGAAGCCCAATTTTGAACAGGCGGTTGCCAACGCACTCCAAATCTGTATCTACATCCTGTGCTGGAAACCCAGAAACTAACATACTTTAATAAATAATTTACTTCATGCCAGGCAGGTCTCTCCCTGCCTGCACCACGTGACCCATCGTCCCTTGCAGACGAGTCTATCCGAGGGTTCTACAAAAACTGTATGCGCCATCTCCTCCTTCGGTGAGAACAAATTCGAGAAAGGTCTAATCTGACCAACATCACCAAATGATAATTAACAATAAAACTTAACATCTTCTTGGTTCTTTCGGTAAAGTCACGTAGAAGGGAAGTAATAAAATAATAAAAATAAAACATAATAAAATAATTCTCACGACGTTTCGGCCTTGGTGGTGTTTCATTCTTCACCTGAGGACGGCTGCTTGCGTTGTGGCTGAAACATTGTGAGAATTATTTTATTATGTTTTATTTTTATTATTTTATTACTTCCCTTCTACGTGACTTTACCGAAAGAACCAAGAAGATGAATCCCTGCAGTCACGAAAGCTTTAAATCAAAACTTAACAATTCAACCCAATTTTTTATATGCATTCCTCCTTTCTTTTCCTGGAAATGTTTTGTGTGGGGAAGAGGGGCGGGCCCGGAGTGTGTTGGTGACTGCCTATAAAGACTGGGCTGAACGCAAGTACAACGGCACTGCTTATTCACAGGGCGGTGTGCCGACAATCCAAATCCGAACTTATGAACCTGTAACGGAGCCTTTTTCAGGCGGAGGGAAAACGTTTCTCCCCTCCCTGCCTGGGAAATGTGTCAGGTCTACCGTGACGCCGCCGCCTAGAGATAGCCCACCCGAACCGGCCTTCCTGGGACAGCAGCAGCATGTCCAGCCGAGAATGCCGTGTCAATGGTGCGTCGGAGAACGCCACACGGCCACTCTGCAGATCTCCGCCAGATAAACTGCAGCCCTTCCGAGCTCACAAGGCCGCCACGGCCCTGGTCGAGTGGCGATGACACCGGCCCACCGGACCCTTGCCTTATATGCCTCTTGAATGCACTCTGGCACGCTCTGCATAGAGGCTGGTTGCCGCCTTCTTGTGCTGACCGTACAACACACAAAGAACGGCTCTAACCGAACCCAACCCGTGCAGCCTGCCACCCCCCCCGCCACGTGCCAGCGAAAAGGCCCAGCGCAGAAAACAGCAAGTACAATATCCTGGTTGACGTGAAGCTCTGCCAAAGCCTTGGGAACAAACCCTGGGGATGTTCTCAACGACTGCTCTTTCCCTTGACATTAATTTAAAGGGAGGGTTATAGCCATCAAAGCTTGTAGCTCGCTAACCCTTCTTGCCTAGGTTATGGCCATCATGAACACTGTCTGAAGAGTCAAAAGATGTTCCAGGCAGATAGCGGAAGGCTCAAAAGAAGTTTACAGATGAAGGTTCCAGTGGCTCCTACTCTTCCTTTCTAAGTCAGTAAATAATCACTGCCTTGTTTTATCCTGCCCCTTGTTCCAGGTTTCCTCTCCGGAACCAACTCCATTCAACAGGAATCTTAAAAAAGATGACCAAGTGTTCAACAATGACATGAAAACACGGCCACTCCCAGAGTCATTAATCAACATTTGATAAACTTAAGGGTGTGCTCATATGTTGGCCAATAAATAAAGTGCAGTATTACCACGTGGCTGCCAACTGAGAAGTCAAAAAGGTCAATCTCGCCTCTGCACCGGTGCTGAGCTCCCATCGGACACGTTTTCTTGGGGAGCTACTTGGGCTGCGTCCACCCATCCGGTGGAAAAAGCGCCAACAATAAAGCTACGCCCAGCACATTCCAGTTCTCTACCAGAGTCTATGGGTCTTCATGCTAGTCTAGGCGCGATGCGTGGTGATAATGCACCAGAGCCGGGCACCCATGAAGACGCCAGCTCTCCTGGGAAGCCGCACGGGCTGTCTGCACCCGTCTGCCGCGGCACACGCCGATGATGACGCCGCCGCCACCGCCAGCGCGTTCTATTTACTCGGTGAATCCGTGCGAAGCACCCGAGGAGACGGGAGAGAATCCGACGCGGGCTTCAACTACCTCGTCGATCCAGAGCCGCGGGACGCCACCGAGGGAGCGAGACGCGACCCGAACGCGTACCTTCGTTCACTTTGGGATTGAGGTCCATCTCCTCCTTGATGTTCTCGATGTCCTCGCGCGCCTCCGCGAGGCTCCGTGCATCCTCATCTTTCCTCCTCTCCCGGTCTCGGTTTTTCTTGGCTTTCTTTCTACTCCTCGCGCCGGCGTCGGAGGCCCGCTCGGCCAAGTTCGAGGCTCCCTCCCGCGTGGCGCTGCTGTCATTCGCAAGCGTTCGCTCGGCTTGGCACTTGCTCTCCTTGTCCGCGACTGCAAGCGTCATCTGTCCTGAGGCCGGTGGCCGTCCTGTGCTCTGTCGCTCTGGCGGCAAGCGGCTCGGCGCCGGCATCGCCGCCCGGCGAGGACGACGTCTTGGCGACGGAGCTGGAGCTCACCTGGCTCGACTCCTCCGCCGGAGCTTTGGAGACGTTCTGCACGCCGGCCGCGGCACCTTCGTCGGAGCTGCTCACAAGCGTGAAGTTGGTGTCGCAGCGGCGTTTGGCCGACTCGGCGGCGGCGCCGCCGCCGTCCGAGCTGGGCCTGGCCGTCGTGTACGCGTTGCCGGTGGTCGGGATCGGGCGGTGGGGCTTGGGGACCGCCGCCCGCGGACCCACGGATTTGTTGTTTGCGTGACCGTTGAATGTGGGCGGCACGCGGCTCGTCAGATGCGAGACACGCTGCTTCTTGCTCGCCTTTGGGTCCACAAATTCTGCCGGAAGCGTTCGCTTTTGCTGCTGTAAGAAGAAATAACATTGTAAACACCTGGACGTTAATTATTTACGTTGTAAAAATGAGTTCTGGTCACATGTACCTGTGCCAAGGCTGCGTGGTGCCGCCAATGCACAGATGCAGCCGATGCAAACATAAAAAAAAATGTTGGCATCAACGTAAAAAAAATCGCTGGGATTGAACACAAACTCAATGCTGAGTAACATCTTGCGATTGTTCCAGAGGATGCTGTTACCTGTGGAGTAGACGCGTGGCTGTCTTTAACAGGGCTCAACCTTGCCAGCGGTTCAACCATAGCTGGAGAATTTTGACTCTGCGAGCTCTGCAGTCCAGAGGATTTCCTATAAAATACAACATCACATTGCGCTCAATAGCAGCAAGCATATGGTGAAGCACAGGTAGCTCCGTGTTAAGTTTTTTTGTTAGTTTATTACACTACAGAGAAATCCTGGGCTCATCCCGAGGAACAAACTGTACAGATGTACATACTGCAAAGAGCGGCAGTGCCTTTTTGAGTTTGGTTCCCTGCACAACATGGTTGGCTAATGCATATTCATCTGATAAAAGACAAGTGGTCACTGATGCTCGATGATGGAACTACAGGGTATGTGTCTCAACACAAAGACACGTTCACAAAGTCGCATACGACTCTCCTCATCCCTGTACGTGTCGTGCCCCTTGGTCAATCCACTGCTGGATGAGGGCCTCCTCAAGCGGGGGGGGTGTTATTTGACCATACTTCACCACGCTCGTCAGTGTGGGTCAGAAACGTCAGAGCATGGTATAGTACAAGGGAGAATGGTGAACTGCCTTCTGCAGCAGCAACAGCAGCAGCTTATGACACCTGTTTCATGCACAATGGTTGCCTATCAAAGCAATATCCAAGCTCAAACCAGCTTAGCTTCTGAGCTCTCACGACAGCAGATGCATTCCAGGTGTCATAACTGTAACAGCGGCTTACCCTGCTCCTCTTGCCACCATGGTGTTATATACTCCACCGTTCGCTTTCACAATGGAAAATGCAGCTCCATGGGCAACGGGAGGCTATGCAAGGTGACTGACTGTGGCGTCCTTTCCTCGCGTGCGTTTTGACCCTGTGCTCATTAAATTTAGCCGTAGATTTTGCACAGCTGCAAATTCTTACAACGGCGAAATATCCAAGAACACGTTGGGCAAGCGGGCTGTTTTTGGGGACACTTTCGTTGAAATAATTAAAGGCAGAATTGCTTGCATCATCACACGCGCAGTAGGGGAGACCAGTCTAGAAAGTGCACAAGTACAATCTGATGAAAAAAATATTTAAGTGCCGAAAGGGAATTAAATCAGAGGCAAAACTACAAAATCCAAAAGGGCCATGGCATCACACAACACATTGCATGGCTTCATCTTCTTGGTTCTTTCGGTAAAGTCACGTAGAAGGGAAGTAATAAAATAATAAAAATAAAACATAATAAAATAATTCTCACGACGTTTCGGCCACAACGCAAGCAGCCGTCCTCACCTGAGGACCTGAGGACGGCTGCTTGCGTTGTGGCCGAAACGTCGTGAGAATTATTTAATGTTTTATTTTTATTATTTTATTATTTCCCTTCTACGTGACTTTACTGAAAGAACCAAGAAGATGAATCCCTGCAGTCACGAAAGCTTTAAATCGAAATTGCATGGCTTATCAAAGCAAGCACATTTTCAGGCGCCAGTGAGTCGGCCAACTTGTATTCACACGGACTCTCAACACCTCACAAAACTACAAAATGTTCATAAGCGGCCAAAACGCCTCAAGGGGGCAATTCTATTCTTACGCAACAGTAATCCATGGCGGCAGATCATTAGAAAAGTCGCGTTACATAAACTTGCCGAGATCCAGAGTATTAAGGTCATAAGTGAAATGCCAGGCTCAATATGATTACTAATTAAGCAAAATCGTTTAAAGACTTCGATATTCACTTTCCATTACACAAAGCTCATGGTTCCCCCCCCTTGCTCATTTGGATTTATATTTATACATTTTTAGTTCACAAAGCCGCGGAAAATTACTGCCATACAATGCCAAGCAGTTGGTCAAGTTTGGTGCAGCATTTCCAATAAAGAAGCCATTTACACGTTTCAACAATTTCATTGTATAGGGAAAACTTGCAAAACCATTGGCGGTCTCCAAAAATAAAGCCTTTATGAACTTCAGAAATTAATGCGACTAATATTGAGATGTCAGCAACCACTGAACCCCGCCGGTAAACATGTGCCTGCTAGAAGAAAAAAAACCGAGGTCTCTCATTGAACCAATTTGAAAGCTAATGAAGTGAAAACGTATCCCGACAAAAGGAAATTAATAATACATCACTGGCCATACTGTGGAAATGCAACAGTGTCTATTTTAGACTTGACGTTTTCGTGACTGCAAGGATCCATGCTCTTTGGTTCTTTTGGTATAGTCACGTAGGTGAAAATAAAAAAATATATAAAAATATAAAAAAGTGAAAACAACTAAATAAAATGATTTCATTTAGTTGTTTTCACTTTTTTCTTTTAATTTTATATAAAAAAATTTATTTTCGCCTACGTGACTTTACCGAAAGAACCAAAGAGTATGGATCCTTGCAATCACGAAAACTTCAAATGTAAAAAATATATATATAAAAAAAAATAAAAAAGTGAAAAAAACTAAATTAAATTATTTTCTTTTTTCTTTTCACCTACGTGACTTTACCGACAGAACCAAAGAGTACAGCGTCTATTTTGCTAGGCAGCTGTGAGACACGGCACGTGGACGCTTCTCACCGTGCCACAAGCCTCTGCATCAGCTGCCTCTCCTCCTCCGAGTAGCCTGGCCAATCCTTCTGCAACTCGCGGTACAGGGAGTCTCTGAGGGTGAACGTGTTGTCCTTCGCATTGAGCACTGCCACCTGATGAGGAGGGGAAAATGAAAAACAAAAATCAAACAACAACAACAACAGTCTCAGAACACAACTCGAGACCGCTTTACTTTCACAGACAATTCGCTTGTGTCAAGCAGTGGGGCGGTCAATGACCCCTGAAACAAAGAAGCCTCTATTCCCCCCTTGGGTTCGTACACAAGCAGACTTTTCACTGGACTCCTCTCCATTACCACGCAACAGATGTAGCCGATGCATTCGGTTGCTTAGTGACAGCGGATTCTCGTAAGTGTACATTGCCGGCATCTACGGTGATAAAAGCGTGAATTGCGGGCTCGCTCAAAGGTGACTTCTCTTAGCTGCCTCCAGTGCATCGGAACTCCCCTCTCATGTTGAGTCGTACCGATTGATGCTTGACAAAGAATGGCTCATTAAAGCAACAATGAGCAACCAATCAGTGCCGTAAACCTGAATAATATCACTGGGCGCTGGTGACATCTGCTGGCTAGTCAAAAGCGTGAGAGCCTCCATCAATCTTTCAAACGCTCTTTCAACTGCCCTCCAATCAAAGTCCCCGGTGAACAGATGGTCCGAAACAATGCACGAGAGAGCGCGCCTGGTAATCCCTGGGTCATTAATCACAACGGGCACGGCATGCTCACGTGTGAAAAACCAGCCTCGCAATTGTCAGCATTTGAAGAGGCGATACTGTTAGAATGCAGGAATGGCAGGCTTACGTGTAAATTAGAAACGCAGTACACCGACTTGCTAATATACACCTGAATTACTGTACGCATGAAACCGTATAAAACATTCATGACAATCGTGAAAGAGTCCAAGAGACTTTGTAATACACAGAAATTACACAGTCTCACAGATTTATCTATATATACTACCGTATTTGACTCTAATCTTGCAGATGCTCTACTAAAACATTGAATTACAGAATGGAAATGATAATCGGGGTGCATTTTGGGTGCAAGCATCCGACAGCAATTGTCGGTGCTCATTTAAAAACGGTCGGGGCAACTGCTGCACAGAGATGACAGACGCTGCACGGTGCATTTGAGGACACATGTAAAGCGGTCGATGCATATATTAGCCACGAATACACAGCTGTGACTTAACCTAGATCTATAATGGCATTAACCAGAACCCCAGAGCATTGGCCCCAGCAATAGCTTTTCATTACTGCAGAGTGCAAAGGCTTGTCACTTGCTTGATAAAAGCCAGACAAAAATAGCAGAAAATGTAAATCCTATTTGTACTCAAACGCTGCCCCCATCCCTGCACAGCCAGGTGTGGGTGGTTTCTGCTTGCAAAACACAAATTTTCTCCTCGCTGTCCCGCTTAAAAAGATGTCACCGCTTCGCCGCTGATGCAAATTGCACGCTAAGTGGCGTACATCAATCTTCACGTCCCAGGCCCGCACAGGGAAGCAATGTCCATTTTTCAAAATGAGGAGGCCCAAGCTGAAAGACGGTGAGTCAAGTGGAACACATCGGCGAGATTGTAACTTTGTTCCAACTATCCTACTAGAATATCAAGTGTTTTCAGAATTTTTACAGGATTACAGCATTTCTGATATTTTTTAGCCAACAGGAAAAATAATCGTGTCCTTTTCTCTAGGAAAATATAAGTTATAATCATCATATATCACAAGATAATCTATTTCCTATGCTTTACACATGCTGGTTGTAATTACCGGTGAAACGTCGTACTCGAATTGTAAATGTCGTGGGTTTACTTTCCAACACGAGTAACGAATTGGCATGTTTTGACTTAAAGCTTTCGTGACTGCAGGCATTCATATTCTTTGGGTTTTTCGGTAAAGTCACGTAGATATAAAAATTGAATAATAAAATATTTTTCTAAATATCGCGACTTTTCGATCGCAACACAAGCGATCGAAACGTCGTGATATTTTATTATTTTTCATTATTTTTTTAAATATCTACGTGACTTTACCGAAAGACCCAAAGAATATGGCATGTTTTGTTCACGTGACAAACCTTACTCATTGGCTGTGTCGGGTGGTGGCGGGTTTAATGACATTCATATTGAAGTGATCTAACCCAAAAAACCTGTTATGGATGTAGTAACAACAAATGTTGTCTTAAACTACTTGATGCCATTTTGAAATGTCTTTGCCACTTCCGCTTACATCATCCACATGTTTGGTTTCAACACAACTGAAGCAATTATGCAAAAAAAGGCTGAGCCCATGTTTTGCTTTAATTCTCCAACAATGTGTAATTTCACACATGCGCTATAGTGGATTTACCGTATTGCATGAGCACCACAACATAATTTGTTATGAACTGTCAACGGCCACACCTGTAATAGCACCCAAGTCGAAGCTGTTGCCACCAGACAGAAGACACGGTGTGCCACTACAGCGGAGGGGGGGGGGGGGGGGTTGCTGGCACCGTCGCAACGCCACCGCTCACCTCGTGGTCAACAACGGTAATGGCATGCGGCGGAGTATCGACAAGGCTCAATTATTACAACTCACTACTCTACGGAGCGTCCGATAAAAACATTACAGAGCTGCAGCGTGTACAACATTCTTTGGCACATGTCGTCACGGGTACTGCAAGATCCGACCATGCCTGTCCAGTGCTTGCTGAGCTGCATTGGCTTCAGGTTGCCAAAAGATACATTATAAAAGGTCGCGCTCATTGTACACAAAGTGCTTTCCACAAATGAGCCGCAAATGAATCACAACGCCTTGCTGATTTCGTCAAGGCGCATAAACCATCACGTGAACTCTGGTCATCCTTGCAGCAGCTTTTGGCTTGCCATTGAACAAAGATGGTCAACTGTATCGCGCACGTGCAGATGCTTTTCTGCGGCCATCTGGAACGCTCTCCCCTCCGATATTAGGAAGCCACTCGAGTTATGCGCTTTAACACCTAGACTGAAAACTGATACTGGTAGGAACCTCCTGGTTACACCAGCCCACCGGGGATTGTGTCCGTCCGTCCGTCGTGCAGGGAGGGGCTGGGTGGGGAGGGAGGGGCTGGGTGGGGAGGGGCTGGGTGGGGAGTGGCTGGGTGGGGAGGGGAGGGTGGGGAGGGGCTAGATGGGGAGGGGCTGGGTGGGGAGGGTGGGGCTGGGTGGGGGGGTGGGGTGGGGCTGGGTGGGGCTGGGTGGGGAGGGAGGGGCTGGGTGGGGAGGGGCTTGGTGGGGAGGGTGGGGCTGGGTGGGGGGTGGGGTGGGGCTGGGTGGGGCTGGGTGGGGAGGGAGAGGCTGGTAACCCCTGGTGCCCTTATAAAACTCAACGTTTAACCTACTCACGCCGGCGTGTGCCCGCCCTCACAGTCGGGCATATTTGCGGAATACACCACGCCGCCGTTGACCCTGACCATTGACCGAGCAACCCAACGTTCCTACCAGCTCCCTCCGCAGGAATGTGTTACTGTGCTCAGTTTGTTGTCCTTCCCTCGCACCTCCGATGAGCACGGTTGGCTACGTACGGTGGGAAAGACGTTCAACAAACATACACACCTGTGTGAGTACAGGGGAGAGTTGCATCTTGTCGCGCTGGTTCACCCCATCCCGCTGCAGGCGCAGCAGCAGCTCCGGCTTCTTGTAGGGCTTGAGCGCCAGAAGGTGCATGACGCGCTCACGGTACGACCGCTGGGACACAGACGATGGCACGCTCGGGGGGGTGGAAACGTTGCTCTTGCGTAGCGCGCCAGCGACGTTCACAGGCATGGAGCGCTTGCGGCCCGGCGCCAGGTCCAGCGTGCTGGCGGGCAGCTTGCGCACCGTCCGCTTGCCTGCAAGCCGTGGGATGGGAGGCAAAAGCAGCAGCAGCCATTGTTTATTTCAGCGTTGACGATCGTAGAATGCACGGTTAGCGCAGGCCTGCCTGAACCATGCTGATGATGGTTGACTCTCAGGATAAGTGCTGCTACTTTGCTAGGTAGTGCCTGTGCATAGATGTTGCTTTGCACCGACAATGCTGTGGTTGTTTTAAACATCAACAATTTATAGGCCATTCTGGAAGGCAGCCAACATTCACACAATTGGGGATGGAAACCTTGATTCATTCCAAAACATACGGGCCCCCAAACATGACCTGCCAAACTCCCATTTCTACAAATTCCTTCCGATCGGAGACATTATTACACAAAACCCCGAGCAAAGACCTGTGCGGCACACCCCCACCGCCTGATCAAGTAACCTCAGGTGGTGAGAAATAAAAGATGGCAGAAGCATACAGACTTCTTCACCCTGGGGAGGAACAGACCAGACCAAACACTCCACGGTTATGGGAGACACAGATTATGGGAGAGCCAGTTGGGCCAACTCACCCCCTCCCGGCAGAAAGGGACACAGATCTGGCATGCCACTTCCTTAAGCCCTCGATCTCTCCTACTAAAAGCCATCAAATTCTAATTCATACTTGGAAGATACCTCGCCAATGACAGGAGATTAACATATTCCACCACCTCTGCGGACTGCCCCAGATACCACCCAGACATATCACCATGCCTTCTCTGGTCATGCCCAGATATCGCTGAGGTTTTACTTTACGCATCACTAAACACTGCAACAGAATTAGCTCCACAAACATTACACCCTCAATTGACTCCTCCCTTTGGGGCTCAAAACCTTGGGCACATCAAATCTGCAGCACGACCCAAGCCAGGCGTTCGATATCTCAGCTAGGAAAGCCATGCAAAGTGGAAGGACCACCAGCCACCCACCCCCGAAACACTGGCACCATTCACTGTATACACTGGCAGCGATGGAAGATCTCAGCTATAAACTAAAAGGAAAGGAGAGAGAATTGGACGCAATATCGGATTCTTTGTTTAACAGCCCACACAATATAGTCCCCCCCCCCCACCACCATCCAGAACCTTCTTGGAGAAGGGTCTGGAAGAAAAGTAAAGAGGTGAACTTGCCCTGAATATACTGCCGGGAATCAAAGGGAGGAGAGAGTGAGGGGAAAGTGTTTAAAGACCGTAGTTTTTTAACCACCCACCCGGAAGTCAGTCTCAGACCCCCCCCCCCCCCCTTTTAAGATATAGTTTCCCACCCCGCTCCCCCCCCTCCTCCCACCCCCTACTTAACCAAATCCAAGACGTCTGCAAGTTTCAAGGTGGGTCCAGTCCACCGCTGAATCTTGGAACGCTCAAGCGGTTCAGTTTTCATTTTATTTAGAGGTGCAGCGCCGCTGTTTTTAAAAGACACTGTACTGACTGCAGAGAAACGGAGCGACACGACCTCACTCTACGATCGCTGGCGCCAAACTGTGCCACACGCCCTCCCGCACGGCCTTTTACTTCCGATTCCATCCGTAATCGGTTCCAATAACGTGAACATACGGAATCGGATGAAAAACGGAAGACGTACACGAACATCATCACGCACACATAGGTTATCGGAACAGGACGGGGTTAAATAGAAATTAGGCTTCCCCCTCTCCTCATACGAAGACACTCCCTGTACGGAGAGCCACTTGCGCAGAGGACACAACCCGAGTGTATTCTCTCCTGTATCCGCCGGATATACAATGGGTTCTATTGAATTTATCCAGCATTAAAATACGTCACAAGACACTGCACAGAGCACTGGGCATACTATTTTTTAATTTTATATAAAAATAGAGTGTCATAAGAAGAAATAGGCAGTTGTCGAGGCTGAACTTGAACTGTGGCAGGGAGTTGACAGCATGGATAGCAGCGGGGGGGGGGGGGGGGGAGTTCAAGTGAGCAGCATCAGAAGAAAACGGGCAACATCTCACTCAGCAAAGGTTGACTGGGGGGCTCTTTTACTGGGAGACTTGAGGTTGCTGCAGCGGAAGTTTTGGAACCGATCTGAGATAAAACCCATCAGGTTAAGGCAGGATGTGAGAGTGCGCAGTGAGGCCGGCTTCATAGAGTCTACGGCAATATTGAGTTGTCTTCTTGGTTCTTTCGGTAAAGTCACGTAGAATGGAAATAATGAAGTAATAGCAATAAAAAATAATAAAATATTTTTTAATTTCATTTTATTTTATTATTTCCATTCTACGTGACTTTACCGAAAGAACCAAGAAGATGAATCCCTGCAGTCATGAAAGCTTTAAATCGAAAAATATTGAGTTGCTCGTCATCGGCATGGAAGTGATGGTCGGCATTACAACTAGCCGCTTGTTTTTCCAGGAGGGAGGAGATATAGTGAGATGAGCGGGTTTGGGAGGGGGGGGGGGTCGAGGACGGAGTGTTGCAGGACACCACAGCGGCTTTGAGAGCTCAAGCAACTAAATCTTTTAATCAGGAGAAACACGTGGGAAAAGCCACTCAATGCCGAGAAGCAATCTGAGAGAAACCACCGAAGCGATGTCTATTCCGATTGTCAATTTCACCCAACTATGCCCTCTTATTTTTAACGTAACTTAGAGAGAAATAAGTATAACCCGTAAAAACAAAGTTTTTCACTATAAATCCTTTATATGCGTGGCGGCTAGAGACCTCTCGTCCTCTGGCTTGAGATGGCTGCCACCTATGGGTCAGATGATTGCATGGCAGCATTAAGCAATTGGTAATTAAATATAATATTTTTGTCCTAAAAAGTGTTAAATTTTGGAGAAAAAATTTCAGGAACATTAATTGTCACGCACAACGAGTCTGTGTGCAAAATGTCAGCTCGATTGGATCACGGGAAGTGGGTTAAAAAACGACGGAAAGATTTGCACGGTCGTAAGCAAGCAAGCGAACTTAATATAAAGGATTTAAAAAGTGAATGTTCAAACTGGCAGTGCTGCACGTACGCAACAACAGTGTACAACGCCGCGTAAATAATAGATGTGCAGGTATATTAGGGAAAGGATGAAATTGAATCGGAATCAAATCGCGCGAGTCAGCGTGGCGTTTTCGCGCAGACCTGGAAAGCGGATCGCGGGTGAAAAATGTCCGCCCCACGAGGAGATGACAGGGGAACAAAATGGGACTCCTGCCAGGCATCTCATCAATCGAGGATGCAGGCTGCCACGTTGACGGAGCGTTTACGTTTGGAGCAGAAAACGTCCCACTTTCCCTCCCACTGCACTGTCGTGTTCAGCAATAACTCTGCGTGGAAATTATACGCTTTTCAAACACCGCTAATGGGTGCCTGAGGAAGAATAAAATTAAACAGTTACTGAATGTGCTGTGGAGTACATTATACCCTTCATGGAGATGAAAATTACCAATTAGACGAACCTGTCATATGCACCAAAGCAGAGATGATTAATGGGCACTCTTTTTATTATTCAACAAAAACACAGCTCATAAACCCTTAGTGTTTGCATAAACGTTAAATTTACGTTTCAAAGTCTGCGGTGTAATCACCAATTCTGGTTTCAATTATATTAATAAACACCTCCAAGTGTACTTTTAATGAGAACATCTAGTTAGAGAAAAATATGACGATGGTGTGACGATTTCCTGCCTCAAAAGGTCTCATTCTGCAACAAATCACCACTTTTGTTGTTCTTCTTCTCCTTTTATCAACGGTGCACTTACAGCAGCGCACCGCTAATAAATTAAACGTAAATCAGATTACCAATTCGGTCCAGAAAATGTCACGTAAAGAAGCGTCTAGCCCTGATTAAAAGGGAGCGCTGCGCGGAAAGAGCGGTCAGCTGCTCCAACCCTCCCTCTCTCCCGCTGTCCCCCCCCTCCTCCTCCTCCCGTTTCCATTGCGACTTCATACGTCAAACGCTTACCGGCGGCAACACATTTATATATATTTATATTCTTTTCAAGTGACGCAATTCCCAGCCACCTGCGCCGAGTAAAGCCACTGGAATGCGTTGAAAGGAAGATGCTGGTGGTGGTGGTGGGCAGTCACCGCTGTAAGCTGTCAATATGAAAGGGGAATGAGACTCCCTACGTGGGTATCACAACATATATTTATCCAGTACAACGGTACGCGCCTCCCGGTGCGCCAACGTAATAAACAGGATGCTGTGTGGCGAGGATACATATTACGCAAACGGGGCAATGTGTTGTGGTTGGAAGCGATCGTCCACGACAGCTTTATCGACATCGGCAACGTCACGCTACACTTATTTACCACGGAGAGAGGCCTCGGCTAGAATGTGGGTAATATTACCCGAAAGCAGCGATGCCAATGAACTGCAAACAGCGCGTTTGTTTAAACGCACCCCGATCACTTGGGATATGTTTTTTTTTATCTCATCGTTATTTCTCGTTTACTAATATATTCACAGATGTGGATGAAGAAACATACATTTTACATGTTTTTCTTATTATATAAGGATGCCAGCACTTGAATGCCCGTAAATTGCATGGTAAAAAGCAATTTGCAAAAAGAAAACAGTATTTTTTTTAAGCCAACGCATTTCAAAAGCAGGATTTAAATTTACACGCGATTTTCATCGGTGACCAGGCGCAACTCCTCGTAAGCTTCCTTCAAGGTCCTGCCATTCGCTCTGCCCGTAAAGTTTTTGAAGAACCGAATATGCCACATAAGCCCCTGCAAGTGCAAGCTGCACCAGAAGGCTTCCTTGCAGCCCTCCCTGTGTTGCCTTGCCCAATACATTGGGCAGCAGCAGCAGCAGCGCCGCATCCTCCACTAGCGAGGGCTTGTGCGGCATGACTATTCTTGCCACCGCCACCAAAGACAGCACTATCACACGTCCAGTCTTCTGAGAGGTCATATCTCTTTTCAACAGACTTGGGACGACCAAAAACTCTTTGCCGGTTTTCCTCATTCTCGGCGCGCCATGTCTAACATATGCAAGTTGAGCGGCATGCTTACAGCCCTTGTCCTTATCCTGAACATACTCTGTGGCAAAGTTAGAAGCTATAACCTCCAGCCCCACTATCAACTTCCTCCCTCTTCACATTTTGACGCTCCCACAAACGAAGTGTTTGGCGAGAGCCTCCATCCCCTGCCGAGCGAGACGGGACTGAGGAGGAGCGCTCGCCGGCCTCCCCACTTGCCTTAGCCCGCTTGGGGGAGGTGGCCTCTTCCTCAGAGCATTCCTCCTCCTCTTCCACTGCGGCCTTATTTTTATTCTTTGGGTCTTTCCGTGAAGTCATGTAGATAGGTTAAAATTAATAATAAATAAACTACGACGTTTCGATCACAACACAAGCCATTGTCATCAGGAGGGGAAAAATAAGTATAACCCGTAAAAACAAAGTTTTTCACTATAAATCCTTTATATGCGTGGCGGCTAGAGTCCTCTCGTCCTCTGGCTTGAGATGGCTGCCACCTATGGGTCAGATGACTGTCTGCCAGTATTAAGCAATTGGTAATTAAATATTTAATTTGTTTTCCCTAAACAGTGTAAAATTTTGGAAAAAAATGTTCACCAACATTAATTGTCTCGCACAACGAGTCTGTGTGCAAAATGTCAGCTCGATTGGATCACGGGAAGTGGGTTAAAAAACGACCGAAAGATTTGCACGGTCGTAAGCAAGCAAGCAAGCACGCAAGCACGCAAGCAAGCAAGCAAGCGAACTTAATATAAAGGATTTAAAAAGAGGCCTTATCTCCTGGTGCCAACTAAGTGCACTGTGCTCCCAAGCGCACTATTGTTTTCATTAGTCACTTGGGAGAAGAGTAAACCAAAACGCCATTGAGAAGAGCTCTCGAGAGCTCCCTCGAGGAGAGGCCCTTCTGCCGCCAGCGGAATTAACAAGTCATTGCAGGGCTGTACCTTTGCCGTAATGCTGCACTTTGCTCTTTGTAGAGGAACGTCTTGTTAATTTTTTTTCACCACAACGCCAGCTGTGGACACGCTTTTGATGCCGCCACGTCCACGACCATAACTCTAGACCAGGGGTCGCCAAAACCTGCCGCTCTTTAAGGACTGCTTCAAGACCAGAGGTCGCAAACGTGTTTTGATTCCTTACCTACCCGTACCTCGCCGGGTACGGGTACCCGTTCCCTACCCGTACCCGTACCCTAACCGAAATGAGTGACAAACGGTTACTCACCAGTGACTCACGGTCTACCCGTACCCGTACCCGGCCGCACCAGGGTCACAAACGGGTACCCGTACCCGTACCCGGCCGGGTACGGGTAGCCGGGTATCGGGTAGGGTACGGGTATCGGGTACCCGATTGCGACCTCCGTTCAAGACGTAATGTACGTACGTACGTTACGTAATGTACGTACATTACATAATGTACGTTACGTAATGTAAAATTACGTACATTACATAACATTACGTCTCGAAGCGGTCCTTAAAGAGGAGGTACGTACCCGCACGCACTGCGGCTCTTGAAATATTGAGTTTTGTGCCGAATTATCACAAACATGGCTCTTCTCGTTATTGTGCTTGCCAACCCTCCACCCCCCGCTTGAGACGGAGGCATCGAACGCGTTTTGCTCGACCGCGACGGGCGAAACCCACCGAGGAAGGGCCCTCCGGGCTTGATCTCGATGACGCCGCGGCTGCGCGTCTCCTCCTCGGCCTGCGTCATGCGCTCGCGTGTCATCTGATACGAGTCGTCGGTGGCGCACACCGTTATCTTGTCCTGAACGCTGCCCAGGCAGTCCAGCAGGCAGGAGCCGTTGCTGTGCACGCAGCAGATTGGGGATAGAGCACAGGTGATGGCTTTGTACATTTGGAGGTGTAGTGCAGAGTAAACACCACCGTGCAGGCTTTCGCAGTGCATTCAAACAACCCAATGAACCGCAAAAGAAAGAGTGGATAGACATAAGGGCTGTACATGAACTAATACATTTGAAACATAGTACTATCTTTTTTACAGTTGTGCTGCATAGCTCTGCGACGGGAGTTTTTTGGTTGTACCGCATTTTTCGAAACGATGCCCCACGTTCGCTCCACGTTCTGGGAGCCTCTCGAATGGGTTTCTTCATTTTAATTCTAGATTTGAAGCTTTCGTGACTGCAAGGATTCATATTCTTAGGTTTTTTCGGTAAAGTCACGTAGGAAAAAAATTAAAATTAATAAAAGTAAAATAAGTATTTTATTTTACTAAAAGTAAAATAAGTATTTTATTTTACTTTTATTAATACAAATTTTTTACTTTTATTAATTTATTTTACTTTTATTAATTAAAATTAATAAAAGTAAAATAAGTATTTTATTTTACTAAAAGTAAAATAAGTATTTTATTTTACTTTTATTAATTAAAATTTTTTACCTACGTGACTTTACCGAAAAAAACCTAAGAATATGAATATTCTTCATTTTAGTTCGGCAAGAAGCTCCCAGTATGTGGCCGAAACGTCGGAGTCAGCACCAAACAACACGCGGTATGACACGAAAACGCTTCCGAGAGGGAATTAACAGCCTTCAAAAGCTTGGGATATCCAGTACTTAAAGGTACACCACAATTCGCGAACAGCAATCTTGTAAATAGGTGCACTGCGTGTCGCAGGCTGACGCGACGTGTTTAAAACGTCATTGTTTAAAAATAAATGAGTTTAAAATTACGATCAAAAGAGCACTGGACAACACTGCTGTTGTGACATAAAAAAGAACGGGAGTGAAACGGTGGCATCGGAGCGCTCGTTAATTTCTTTCTAGATATCAACACTTCCCATCTACATTGGACAATCTGGGACGTACACCTTCGACACACCTAAGAAATACAATCGTTGTGCTCTTTTGCATCGCATCCTCCATATATAAGCTCATTACCTAGTTTTAAAATCCAACTGGGACGCTCACAGTGCATGTATTGTGCTATTTATCACAACTGAAAAAATGCTTATCATCGGCGAGATGTTTTCACATGATGCTATCACACTGTGAAGCGCACTAATTCTCGAGCTACCGACAGTAGCCGTTGCAGTGCCACCAGTCAAGAACTTGTTGATTTTGCTAAGAATTTCATGTCGTGTGTGTCCCTCGCACTATTTCAGCCGTGCAAACGTGACTTTGCATTCCACGGATTACTTATTTATTCAGCAGCTGCTTTTTCTCCCCCACTGCAGACGATGACACTGTAATAACTAGTTAACAGGATGAGAAATACGATGCATATATTACATCACCGAGGCCATCTTAAATTCACATAAGTCGGCCAATTTGTGCCGTGCCAGGGGCATATTAATCATCCACCAGCCATGATGATTTACAACGCCACGTGCCTACCCTGTAATAAAAAAAGACAAACAACCACCTCTGCACATTGCTTGCTGGTGCGTACACTACACGGCATCTACATTTATTCAAGTAATATAATTGCTCCAGGGTTTACATATTATGATAACAATGCGAAACAGCGTTCTCGATTCCCAATAATAAATGGACTACCTCTCACCCACGTAAATGTTATCAAGTAAAAATGATCCACTGCGTTCCAACGGTGGCAATAAGGCAACATTAACGTTAACCGCAGCTCATACAATCCTTGCACGTATGTACGACTAACTTCTTACTCGCCGTACGCAGCCAAACGCGCTAATCGCGATCGCTGTTTGCACAACGTTGGATCTGTTTAGAATGTGGTACGACAGATGCTAGCAACGGCTCAATGGACACACGACACGATTTTTCCATCTGCAATCCACCTGGGGTGGTGGGGGGCTCTTTCTGTTTATAAAAGCACTGTAAACGGTAAGGGTCATTTCATGTCAGCTCTACACCCTTGGGGCACGCGGGGGGGGGGGGGGTGCCAGTCTGGCAATGTTTATCAGGAGCAGAGGTAAAACAAGCGGAGCTTAATCCCCGCAAAGCCTCCCCGTGCTTAACGGTGCCTTTCCTTTCACACTCCACGCCCCACCCCGCATGTGCGACTATGTCCCCGAGTGCCGCTCGCTCGGTCAGGGGCTTGGGGAGGGGGCCGACAAAATGCTCTTTGCAAAACAAAGAGAAGTCCTACAGTTTGTGGAAACTGTGCCACTCGGAATTGCGTAAACCAAAACTGTGCAAGGCTGCGGAAAGAGAAAATGCACGCAAAAAAAACGCTGATTGCTTTATTTCCCTTCCTTCAAAGAGGAGCTTCCGATGTTGGCGGATTTCCATGAGCTCACGGTGACAACAGCAAAATAAAAAAAACTGTCTGAAGCCTCTCAAACGACTATCAGACAAAGTAAGGTCAATAAAGGACCCCCAAAAGCCACAACAGTTGTGTTAATACGTTATAGTTTAAAAACAAACAGCGTTGCAGAAGCATTGCCAACGTGTTTATGAAAGGGTTCTAAGGCACTCGGTGAAACCAGGGCGCACAGACATATCCAAAACAGAGCGTAGAAAAGCACAAGCAATCTGTGTGCAAAGTGCGAAACATCAAGAAGAGCCATTTCTAATTTCTAATGGCTCTACAAGACAACGGCATCAACATGATTCATATTGTTGTTTGGTGGCATCAACTAACACTACAGTAAAGGCGTGCACATACACTTGCCTTTTATTAATCTGCTTCTGGATGAGAGCCTCCCCAATGCCGCCCAGGTTGTGGGAATATTTTACCATACTTTATCGAGTCTCACGTCTCTTTCAGGATGCTCCTACCAAGTTTTTTGCAGGAGGGGGCGATGATTGCTGTGTCTATTTCAACTAAATAATTTGCAGGCAATTTTTATTTTCAAACTATGTCACAGGACCTGAGACTAGGCTCTAAGGAAAGCTGTCTCGGGTGTGGACCAATCAACTTCAAGGACAGTGCACATTATCAGAGTTATGTTTTTTGTTTGCATTATGACTGCAGGTATTGTGGTCTATGCAAACATGACTCATTGTAAAAAAGGTGTCAGTTTTGTTGCCAGATAGAAGGGTAAAAAACCAATTATCATATTTTTCACTGGCAAATGAGGTTCCAATGATGGAGGACCTTAATTGTCCAGTGTGAAGCGAACTTGACGTAACTGTTTTGGTTACTACACCTGCATTAAATAACCAGGGCAGCTGATTGATCCGAACTGCAGTACCGCTACGCCACGTCAACGAACCACATGATGTAAATGGTGTAAAGCGTGGTGATTTATGAGTTGCGTTGCCTACATAGGAAGGGATAGCGCACCCCAATGTGCAATGCTGGTGCAGACACCGAGAGACATTTCACTTCACCATCCTGCCTAGCGTAAAAAACAAACAAACAGAGCCTACGCGTTTATTTATCTAGCACACGCAATTACGCTTTCAGCTTTATTTATAAGGTATGCAGAATTGGGGGGGGTGGGCAATTATACGACCACTAATGTGCTTGTGTCAAGAATAGATTGCCACAAGCGCCCCCCCCCCTCTCGCTGTGTACACTGTACACAAGCCACTTGGGAAACTTGGGCAGACGAGATTTTTAAACCGGCGCGTGCAGACTGCAGATAAGGATGGGCGGTGACGCAATTGCGCTGCTGCTGCTGCTTCTGCGTGACAGCAGGCTGCGGTGGGGCCACCGTACCTGTCCGTGTACTGCTTGATGCACTCCAAGCTCGCCTGGGGACCGTCCCTCCCCGCGCTCGACACATCGAAGGAAAAACACCGCAGCCCTGACAGGCATTCCGATTTTGGCACAGGGATCTTCATAACCTGCGGACAAGACAAATGAATAACAAAAGAAGCAACGACATTAGTTTATTTGTGTTGGAGAATATCTGTTGTGGAGCAGTGGTGCAGCGCACCTACAAAGCCGGTAACCCGAGTTTAATTCCCGGTTCACAGCTCGCATCAGTGGCAAGTGATGTCAGACCTGGCTGTCTTCTCTTTTCCTTCACCAATCGGCACTCACCAGTGTGGCATGTCAAAAAACACCATGACTGACATGGTGTGTGTACGGGAGGGGGGGGGGGGCCTCCATCCGTTGGCAGAATGAAAATGGCCGTCATTAATTTATTAACGTGAAAAACATGGCACGAGAAAGTTTCACATCCTGTATAACAAGCAGCGAAAAACGTCACGAAAGAAAATATGAAGAGCATATTTTTCAGCCATGACTGAACGCTGAGTCTAGACTCTTTTCAGAGCAATGTAATAAGATTTGTATTTATAGAACGCATAAATGCAACCTCAAATCCAGACACTTGGCAAATATGTGGGACATGCACAACACGAAGGCGTATATAGAGAAACCAACATCTCCTTTTACAAAGGCCACTAAACATCATCATATTACCATCGCAATGTGACAATTTAACCGCTACACCCCTCCCCGTAAATTATATGAATTGTCAAAATTCAAAAATGTGTCCAGTTTTTTTTCTGTCTCATTTGTATTCGTGCTCATTTTCTCTGGTATAGTATTATCTGTACAGTTTAGTTTGAATATTACCCTAAACGTAACGGTAACATAATATTTGCATTTAATTTAAATTAATTATTATGAACCAATTATCACAAGCATGATTTGACGATATAATATCATGAGCACAAGAATACATTTTAATCTATCAAATGATTTCGATTTAAAGCTTTCGTGACTGCAGAGATTCATCTTCTTGGTTCTTTCGGTAAAGTCACGTAGATGTTTTGTTACACGATTAATTGTAATGCAAAAATAAAAGATTCCTTTACTAAAAGTATAAATCAGTAAATACAGGAGTCTGTGGATAATTCAACAGCTACACACCTGAATATTTGTATTAGCCCTCAAACATCCACACACACAGCCCATCCCGTCATGACGCAGAAACATAATAACCCCAGGTTACATTTATGAATAGAAAGCAGTATTCGGGAAAAGTTGTACTCATTGCCACCGGATGTAGCCGAAATGTAGCTATCAATACGATGACAACAGACCACCCGTTTAACCCCGCGCTGCTGCAGGAGCTGTGCTTTGAGACACAAGTCCCCGGTGACTCACAGAGATACTCCGATATGTCAGTCAACGAGCATGAAAGCGACACAGGATGCCACGGACCGCGGCGTACGCACGCAAATCGCCCGAGAGCTGACGCAGACGCTCACGCCCCGCTGTATAGCGACGAGAGAAAATCAATATGCTCCCAAGTCTGCCTGCGTCACACGCTGCATGCGTCCGCCGATGCGAGACTAAGGACGGCCCACTCACGGCTGACCTCAGCAACCGTCCCCGTAGTCACATCAGCGGCGTGACGGCAAGCTGCGGCTACGAGTAAGTGGAGGGGGGGGGGTTGTCCCGGGTTCCGGCACAAATCCGGGACGTTTTTGGAAACCTGCGACAAGGCCAACCCCCGTAGCGTGAATTTACGGCACTGCCGCTGCTCTCCCAGATTAAAACTCGAGTTGTGATGCCCTGCAGTCAATCCGTGTCACATCTCATGTGCCGAGTCTAATGAAGAACACCCATTACAGGCATCGAACTCTTGTCAGCGCTCCATCTCCATTATTGTGTTTACAAGTTCCATTCATTTTCTGTCCTTTCCCGCAATCCCCTGCATACAGGAATTAAGATAGATTAAGACAGGGTGCTTCTGAACTTGTTTTACGTGCAGCCCTATGAGGATAAATGGCTGAAGCACGAGGCATCAAATCACAGACTCGAGATTAGAAAGGGGCCAAGCAAAAGCTGACTCAATATTTACATCTACTGCTTTCTACTGATAATAACACATTGCACGCGTAAACAAAACACAAGCACGCACCCCGTGCGCGTTTTACAGACTCCCATGGGTCCATAATAGTCAGCCGCCGAGCCATGCACGGCACAAATTATAACGCATGCATTAACTAAATGTGTTGATGCTACGGAAGCCGACCTGCGTTGTCACGGAGACAATGTAATTGCTCTGGCGCAAGGCACCTTTGCGCGGGGGGGGGGGGGGGCAGCGGCTCGTTTTTTCTTGAACCGAACGAGGATAAAGAAGCAACTCGCCGTCGCAGCGATTCCTAACGGCGTCGACGGCGCGCCGCCGGACTTGATGATGGCTTTCGCACAGGTGAAATGCCACTTAAAATGCACACTCGTGACGTGCGTGCGTTAAATCACCGTTCCAAAGACCCCACACAGCCTCCTGGTAAGTGCCTCCTGGCGCGTCACTCCTGCATCCTCGCCTGACGCAACAAGTGCCTGCATGCCGCAGACACCTTCACTTGTTTTTTTTAAACAAGCACGCCGATGCAAACTTTTAGGCGTCAATGCAGCTTGCAGTGACGGCGCCTGAATCTGCAAAGGTGCCTCCGGCAATACGATCTGCTCCAATCGCAAGTCAACAATAAATCGTGACCCCACGTGCGTGTGTCCTCCGTATGGACCCCCCGTGGTCGGTGACACTGCTAAATGGGAAAACAAGTGCGTGTTGATTGTGGTTTTTGCCACGAACGTCAGTGCGCGGATATCACGCTGTTTCAGCCAAAGTCCAACGTGAGACACGGTATCACTGCCCGGGCTTGCCACAGGGACTGCTCGCGATGTCAAAAACGAGCCGTTTGCAGTGAACTAAATAAAAAAATAACAACGTTATAACAAGATTTAATTTCATTAGATTCCGGTACAAATATTGGGGGAGTGGGAAGGGGGGTCATTGTGATGCCTGCCAACATGATTCAAGTGCTTAAGGTAATCTAGGCAATTACATAAAATACCTCGGTTTTACGAGAGAAATTGGTCAGCATCATTTATAATAAGGGATTATAAATGCAGTGAATGTTGATTTTACTATTTTCGAATCTAAAACCAGAGATCCAGTTGTATTTTGTAAAACATGCCATTAATGCCGAGGTGATGTCATACCATTTAGGGGGATTATTATGAAAATCTTCGTGTGATTAAAGCAATTGTTCTAATTTGAGAAATTACCTACCAGCATACAGCTAATCGCCAATGGCCTCCCAAGCACACAAACACAACAACGAGCATACTTTATGTAAAGTATGGCTTGTCGCTAAAAAAACGATGCCAAAAAAACACAAAGCTCTCAGCTTACACAGCTCTACCTGGCATGTGCATAACAAGCCACTTGATACGAGTTATAAGAAGCTTCTTTATCGAGAACTAGCTGTACTACCCGGCTTCGCCCGGGACTTGTATCCACCACGGCCGGCCGCCTTTGTCTCCCCAGTGGCGATGTTAATACGCCACACCAGTTACTCGTTTGAGGCTGAGTCGACCTAGGGGAGGTTCAAATAATCTTGACCGGTGGTGGCCATGAGCGGGAATCGAACTGGGTTCGCCGGGTTGGTAGCGCAGCGTAGCGTTAACCACTACACCCACCGCTCCTCACACACACAGACGCACAGACACACACACAGACACACACACAGACACACGCAGACACACACAGACAGACACAGACAGACACACAGACAGCACGCTAACCACTACACTACCGCTCCCCACACACCACACACGCACAGACACACACACACACACAGACACCCACACACAGACACACACACACAGACACACACACAGGCAGCACGCTAAGCACTACACTACCGTTCCCCCTACACACCACACACGCACACACACAGACACACACACAGACACACACACACAGACACACAGACAGACACACACACAGACACACAGACAGCACGCTAACCACTACACTACCGCTCCCCACACACCACACACGCACACACACAGACACACACACAGACACACACACACACACAGGCAGCACGCTAAGCACTACACTACCGTTCCCCCTACACAACACACGCGCACACACACAGACACACACACAGACACACACACACACACAGACAGACACACACACAGACACACACACACAGACACACACACACAGACACACACACAGACACACACACACAGACACACACACACAGACACACAGACAGCACGCTAACCACTACACTACTGCTCCCCATACACCACACACGCACACACACAGACACACACACAGACACACACACACAGACACACACACACAGACACAGACAGCACGCTAACCACTACACTACCGCTCCCCACACACCACACACACACACACAGACACACACACACAGACACACACACACAGACACACACACACAGACACACACACAGGCAGCACGCTAAGCACTACACTACCGTTCCCCCTACACAACACACGCGCACACACACAGACACACACACAATACACACACACATACACACAGACATACACATACATACAAACACACACATACATACACACAAACACATACACAATACACACACACATACATACAGACACACACATACATACACACAAACACATACAGACACATACATACACACATACATACAGACACACAGACACACATAAACACATACACACATAGTCATGACCTGGCTTTGCCCGGGACTTGTATCCACCACGCCCGGCCGCCTTTGTCTCCCCAGTGGCGATGTTAATACGCCACACCAGTTACTCGTTTTGAGGCTGAGTCCCTCCCTCGCCACTCTGCCTCCCTCGCCACTCTGTAGAGGACGTGAAATTTGTATGAATTTACCTCAGAGTGGCGTGTTGGGTGTCGAGGCCTAGCACCGTGCAGAGCCTCCCGCCTTGCCTGATTTTCCCACCCGGCGAACGCTGGGTACGGGTGCCGGTCCCCCCCCCCCCCCCGCGCTATTAAAAATGGCGTCCACCCCGCGGCGAAAAGTTGCTACTCGTTGCCAGGGGCAA